ATAGTATTTTACAAGCTGATGACTTTCTCTTGCAGAATCCAGTGTTAAGATTCACATTAAAAAAAAAAAAAGACACACTTTGAGCCCAATCCTGTAGGCCTTGCACAAGCAAAATTCTCACTCATCTCCACTGAAGTTCTGCTTATGTGAGGATTGTTGAGGTCAGATCCTTTATCTACATAAGGATTCCATATCTCTGTGGTGCAAGAATGTTAACATTAATGATTGTCAAATTAGCGTAGTACTGGCAAGGCCAAAAATAAAAAAAAAGTACTTTGATTTGTTTTTCAAATCAGCAGCTCAGATTTGTTTCTCTGGTACTAACCCAGAGCAGTGTAAACAGCTTAAAACAGATTACAAATAATGTGGTTGGTGCATTAATCTGAGGTACTTGGTGGATGTTGACAGTGTTTTCTAGACGAGATTTTATTCTCTCTCATCAGTATAATGCTGGATATATTAAGAACCAGAGGAGTTACTTGTCTTCATGTGGAATCTTATCTTAAAGAGAGTGATAAAATACAGGTCTCAATTAATTTCACAATGCTATCATGAAGGGATTATGAAGAAAATTCTGTAATCAAGGTAGGTTTATGTATTTTTAAAAATAGGAATACAACGAAACCTGCCTGAAAGAACCATTACATTTCAAATTATTAATAGAGATGACTTTTATCTGTTCTAAGAATTAACAAAACCTCAGGGATATTTTTGGGGAACTTTTTGTTGAGTTCAGACTTGAGGTGATCCTTTATTGAGGTTTCATTGTGTATATTCTTGTTTGGTTTGATATCCTGTTTTAAGGCTTTTTCTCTTTTAGTTTTTAAATCTCCAAATCCAGGTTTATGTAACTTGTGTGGTCTCATTGTTTGTAGTCTTTTAGTAGTTGTATGTGAGAAAAACACCACTAATATGGTAGGGAGAATGTGCAAGACAATGAGTCAGGAGACCTAATTGTATTTTGAGCTTTGCCACAGATCTCCTTTGTGGTTTTGGGAAAGTCACTGGGTAGAGTCATGGGGATATTGAGGCTAAATTAATTAATATTAGAAGAGTGTTTTGAGAGCCTCTGATAAAAGGCATGCTAGAAATGAAAAGTATTATTTATTTATCTGCTTCTTTTGAATCCATTGTTGTTTTCATTTTGTTCAAATGTTTGATTAACATTTTCACCACTTTGTTGTTTCCATTTATTTGGGGCCTTTAAAAATGCTTTGTAACGCAAGCTAGTTGTTCACTTTTTGCCGTGTTATATAAGAAGGGATTATAAAAGTTTAATGTTGAAGGGAATTAGTGATAAACAAGGATTAAATAATCCAAAATCTTAAAAAAACAAACAAAAAAACTCCTAACGGGATTTTGCATATTTATAAACATAGCCTTTCTCCTTTTTATAAATATGATGCTTTGCTTGTTTATCTAATTTTTTGAAGCTTCTGCTTGGATTTGTATACAGTAAATTTCAAAATCAATGTTACAGGGGTTCTTTTTGTTCTTATTTTAAGTTTGTGTAGCATACTGAGAGATTTGTCAAGGAAGTGCAAATGCTAAACATGGTAGTGAAAATAGCTAAAAAGAGTTGCATTTATGTGTTGTAGGTTTTTTTTTTTTTAATAGAAACTCATCTGAATTGGTTAGGAGTCCTACAGCTATTCTGAAATGTCGATATTGTGTGAAAATGAATAAACTCCATTATTATCTGAAATGTGGAATTTTTGCTCAACTTTAGTGATGTGATGTGGTTCATAATAATTTGAAGTACAGTAAGGAACATGCAAAACAAGTATTTTTGAATGAATTTTTTAAAATCAAATATTCAGTTCTTAAAATTTTGGGATTTTCCAGCCTTGTCTTATTTTCATCTCTTAAGCCCCTTCAATTATGAAGAAATGCATATATGTACTCTAGTCAGTAGAAAGAGCTACATTCGTGTGGTTTCTGGGGGACTGAGGAGGAGGGGATGAAAAGACCTGCTGATGCCTTGATGTGCAGCCTCCCTGGGCTGCACCACATGACACATATTTTGACCAGAGAGTGGTAACTGTACCAGTTAGTTTTTTTACTCTAAAATTTCTTGATAGTTTTTTTTTTATAATATTACAAGCTAGTGATGTATTTAAATACTTAAGTACTTATAAGGACTCATTACCATAGTCTCACAGTCTAATGAATTTATCCTCACAATACCTCTGCAAGATAGGGATTGTCCCCATTTTCCAGAGGGGGAACCGAGGCACACAGAAACTAAGTAACTTGCCCAGGGTCACTCAGGAAGTCTGTGGTGGGGCAGGGAACTGAACCTGGGTCTCCTGAGTCCCGTGTTAGCACCCTGACCTCTAAACTGCCCTTCCCCCCATATTCCTAACAAGGAGCCATAAAAATAGTTTTAATCACTAAAAATCTGTGACACGCAGCCTTAGAGTTTGTAACAATATAACGTTTTTTTTGTTTTGTTTTTAGATTAATTTTCCTTCATTTTTTTGTGCAGGGCACTCTGTACTCTAGGGTTTATACTGCACCGGAATGAAAGCTGAATTTGCTGAGTGCATGTTAAGCATCAGATTTTGGGGGATTTTTTTAAAAATCAGCATAGGTTGATGTGGCTTTTCAGCCACACCATCCTCCCAGAATAGCTTCCTTGGCATTTGGCCTGGTATAGCGTGGCTGCTGTGGCTTGAAATATTTTCCTTACAAGGAGGTAAGTTTTTGTACTTTTCCCAAAATCTAGGGATTAGTTTAGGTATGGGGGGGGGGCGAAATTCCCTTTTTGTAGAAATGTAAACTGGCTTGAAGCGTGGCTGCTGTGGCTTGAAATATTTTCCTTACAAGGAGGTAAGTTTTTGTACTTTTCCCAAAATCTAGGGATTAGTTTAGGTATGGGGGGGGGGGCGAAATTCCCTTTTTGTAGAAATGTAAACTGGCTTCCCTGCAAACATATTTTTTTCTTTGTCTGGCTGGTCTGATAGTTTTGAAAATGAGAGGGTCAGTCCATATCTGATTCTCCTCTTCAGGAGGGGCACTTTCTTGTGCATGTGATAGATGCTGCTTTGTATAATTCACATTTAGTGCCTAACTTTGCTCTGAGCATACTGGCCTGGAACTCCCATTCATTGCAATGGGAGTTCCATGTGCATAACTGACGTTCTATATTAAAAAAGTAGCATGTATACAAAGTTGTTAACAATTGAGTTAGAGCACCTAATGCTGGCCATGACTAACTGCTCACTTTACATTGAGTAAAGTTAGGCATAGGTGTGTCCTGATCCTCCAAATACAGGTTATTCCAATGGATAAAAAAAATTCTAACAAAATATTTTAAATATAAAGACTTGAATTTTATCCGTTAAGTTTTATGAATATTCTCAAAAAAACCCTTAATCTCTTCGTCACCCATCTATTACAATCAAAGGTTGCCAGTATTACATATCTTAGGCTACATAGTGTATTGGTTAAAAACTCACTCTCCCACAGCATGCCTGACTTCCTTCCTCCTCTCCTTATGGTCTGTTTTTATATATTAGAACACTGCACATCTTGACCTCTATCTATGGATGTACTTCTGTGGTGATCATCACTATAAACTCTAAATATCCTAGAAATATCTTCCCTCTTCATCCCCTTTGTGAATTGAACTGAAATTACCCCCAAGATTTTTCCTTGTACTACAGAGTACCTCCTTTTCTGTCTCAGTGCAGTTACTGAAATACAGTAAAACTTTGATCCAGAAGGGGAAAATTTGATGCAAACCTAACAAATATTATCATCTGGTCAGTCAGTGTGAATCTTTGTGATGATTTTATGCGCATGCGCACACACGCACACACACGCACACACATCGGTGGACAGGAATACAGAATGGAGTTTATGGTGCTTTTTCAGAAATAAAACTGAGAATATGAGTCTCAGTTAATATTTAGATTCACAACTTGAATGGATTTTCAACCTTGTCTGCATTAGTATTTTTTTTAAATAAATGGGGGATAATTTTTCAGTCTTAACACTTAAGCTAATGAAGGTTTTGTGTCTGGGAATTAGAATATGGCAGAAAGTCACACAGAAACATCATGTTCACTCATCTTGTTAAATGTGGTATTTCAAGGGGCTCCTTGAATTGATCTCAGACACTCTCTGTTACCACAGCTGTTTCTAAAAGAGGTTGTGCCATTCTGGCATAGTAATTTATAGGGGAGGGTGAAAAGTCTCATTCTATTCGACACTGAAGCAAGTGTGACTTTAATACAATGAATTTTTAATATCGTATGCAAGATGGTGCACTTACAGTGAGATAAAATGACATTTGGCTTTTGTTTTAATGAAAGAAAGAATTACATTTTTTGCCTAATTAAAAAACAAATTATTTGGACATTCTTTCCAATATCTTGTTGTTGCTGTTTTGCATGAATGCTCGTGACTAGTTAGGATGCTTAAGGCTACATCAAATTTGCTCATTCAGCCAGAATATTTCCTGGCCAATAGGAGGGTTATCTCATGAACGGAGCACAATCCCACAGAATGTGACAAGGATTTGGCATGACAGATTTACAGTCATGCAAGATACAGAAGTTTAAAGAAACAGAAGAGAGGAGTGACAGGCTTTACGATGAGGACCTGTTTTGTTCCTGGTGCCCCTTCGCTCCCCAGCCCCCTCTCCAAAAAAGTCCAAAACCCAGAATTGTGAAAATATGCAAGGCGCTCTCACCTGAAAAATTGAACAGTAATTCACACAAATATGGATTATATAAGCAACTTCTTTCAGGAGATGAAAACCTTCATGGTTTTTTGCTTTCTAGAGTCCAAAAGAATCTTAGAAATGTGAAATTTCAAATTGTCATAGCAGGTGGGAATGGAATTTGCTTATTGCTGGGATCAATGAGTTGCCTTGCTTCCATCAGCTTAATCTCTCCTTTAAAATAGATTCCTAAATGTTGGTTCGTGGGGCTACTTGTTGGTCAGCAGAGAGCTGCTAGTGACATGTTACTGGCCTTTCTTCTTGTTTCCAGCTGCTGAACTGCCCTAGAAGACAGCAAAAAATCCATTAGATCCTTCTCCATGTAAGCAATTACTGTGATTTCCTCAGGAATACTATGATTTTTATTGAGAGGGGAGGTAGTCCATAAGGCAGACTCTATGATATGAATTGCACCATGAACATGCTTGAGAACTTGCTTTAAAAGACATGTAATCTGCAGCACATTCAAAATTTATGGATGCAGAATAACAATGATGGGTAAGCTTTCTGCTGTTGTCTGCTATGGTAGATATGTATGAACAATGTTCTTATACAAACACTATAGGAATACTACTGAGTTGGAAATTCATTAGTTTAATTGAGGAGAAAGGTGGGAGGGAATAAAATTGAAAAGTTTGCCCCCCCTCCTTTTTTTTTTACATTGATAAATAATTCGCTTCTGTTCTCCTTGCTGTTTAGTGTGGTACATGTTAAAAAAAACAGAGAAACAGCAGGGATCAGGACTCATTAAATAATCACCAGTTCTTGTTGAATAGAAGAAATTTTCTTTTAGGATGTTAAAGGAATTTTCTACCTATTAATATGTTCCCAAAACATGAACTGATTATTTCTTGTCCATTTTTAGATGCAAACAAATAGTTCTGTGTTTTTGTTTTCACAATGGCTTAGCAATAAAAAAATTCATTCAGTAAGCCAACTGTTGCTACATGTTTTCTGCTTTGATTTTGCCTTTTTTTTAATTAAAAAAATGCCAAGAATGATGGCCTAGAGTAGAGGCTTTTAACAATAGCCTGTGGCTTGCATATCTCATACTGTCATGTAACTTGAAGTGAGCCTCTATCATTTCTTATTGTTCTCATACTAGTTCAGATACGTGGGTCTTTATTGGATCGTTTGTTTCTGCCAATGTAAGGAAAACCAAAATCTTAGTTGTTTAGGTAATTTTATTTCCCTTAAAGCAGAATTTACTGGCTTAAGATTCTCAGCTTCACCTCTTCTTTAGCAGCTGGAACTAGCTTTTCCCTGTAGTGAAATTTCTGCTTTTATCCTAGGGTCTTTACTTACCTTAAAGCAGCTAAGATCTCACTCTAAAGCATCATCCAATCAGTCTTTTCCAGCGACATGTAATCTCACACATTTCCTCCTTAGTTCTTGCCCTGACTGTAGGCCTTACAGAAGTAGTAAACTTATAGGAAGTCTGTATGTTAACAAGCAATTTTAACCTCCTCCTTTATTACAATGAAGACTAGCTTTTGTCCTAGTCTCTTAATCTCCTGTGCAAACTAGACTCTTGTACTCTCCTCCCTAATTCCACTAGGCAGGGAAGGGTGAAATTATAATTGCATGGATGGGCCATCAGAGTGTGTGAATTTAATGTGGAAGGGGTTGGGAAGCCAGAAGAAGAAAGGGGAGTAGAGGATGAGGTTCCCCAGGGCTGTGGGACAGAAGGATAATTCCAGCTCTTTAGGTCTTTTGCACACTAGAATAAAAGGTGGGTTTTAAAGTGTTGGCAAATATGTTTTACAACGCTAGCATAGACAGTGCAAAGTGTATTTTAGTGTGTGATCTGGCAGAGGTGAGGAAAAGTCCTTAGGTTGAACAGTTTTTGCTTGCAGTTCCTGCATTGGTCACTATGGGGCACTGTGGCAGCTGCAGGCAGACAAGGCTGTCTCTTTTGCCTCTTATTGCCTCTTGCTGTCTGCTTGCATATTTTACCTTTCATTCACTGCTATATGGCAGGAGGAGGGAAATCACCATTGTCAGATGTCTCACTTGCCTGCTGCCATTCCTTCAAAAATAGTGGCATCCGTGGGTATTTTTCTGGAGTGAGGAGAGACAGATGTAGAGGTGAATGAGGTAACTGAGTGCCGGGAGTGGAGGGTGAATAATAGTATGGGGGATGGAGAGATAGTAATGGGGAGAGAGAGTAAACATGAAGGGGAGATCAGGAAGTGGAGAAGGATCTGATTGAGAAAAGGGAAGGTAAGAGAAAATACTGACACTAAAAATCAGTGAAGGGAAAAAGTGGGCTGAATCAGAAAAGGACAAATCCTTTGATAAGAGATTTGATAAGAGATGGAAAAACAGAAAAGCAATTGAGAAGCACACATTTTTAAAAAAGTGAAAAGACCAAGATACAAACAAAAGTGAAGGGCAAGTAGATAAAATGGAAAGTAAAATGAGGGAGCCATATGTTCATTTCTTATAAATATTCCTGGAAAGTCTGCTTTGACAGCAATTTGAATCTGTGACTAAATCATGGCTGTGTTTTAAAAAAAGGAAAACAATTCTGCCCTTAGGGTCACCTCTTTCACAGCCAATCTCTTCTCCTGGATCCTAGTGTCTATAGGTACTAGATATCACCCTTACCTACTTTTTGAAAAGCTTAATTTATAGATTACCTTTGGGTCTCCTGGGGGGAAAAGCAGGGGTCTTGTCATATCACATACCTTTCCAAATGAAAGCACAGAAGTGTGCATAAGAGAGACCAGAAAGGATTGGGGAGAAATTTGAGACGTAAACCATGAATTTTGTCAGGGAAAAGTTCTCAGGCCCTCCCAGAGAAATCTTGATTGCTCATATCTGAAAAAGTCATATAAAGAAGCCACACAACTTGATAGCTATGGGCAAGGTCAATTCAGCCCCCCATCCTTCCAAGAGAGAGAAATTGGTTAGCTGTGGTAGTTCACTGCTTGTGGAAGCTCTGGATGAAACCTTAAAAATGAGGTCCTCTCTGTCCTATGTGGTGCTCTTTTGGGGGTGTAACTGCTGGCCTATTGTACCTTGAGGAGGAGGCATAAGTTGACACTGCTTTCACTGGGGACAGTTGAATCAAAGATTCTCCCAAGTGTTGAGAAGCTGCTGCTGCCACTACTGCCAGCACAGCTGCAAACTTTCAGGGGGTAAATAAGCACCCTGACTTTCACAATAAGCCAAAAATCAAGCTAATCCCATTTCAAAACCAGGCCAAAACAAGCCAATCCCTAAGAACCCCAACACTCTATGTGACTAGATTCCCCCTCATCTAGTACCTATGCAGTCTGGGACTGTGGTGGGCCCCCTGTGAAACCCTGACTTTCCCCCCACCCCTTGCCCCACTTGCCCCTAGCCCCTGCTTGCCGTGAGCCGATCGAAAAAAAAAAACGGGGGGGGGGGGATGTCAACAAGCTGCAACAAGCCAAACAAGCTACAAGCCAAAAGCTAGCCAACAAGCAACTCATAAGCCAATTAAGCCCAAAACAATCCCAATTTCTGCTTTTTTCCCCCCCGCGGGTTTGGCATGTCTGACTGTACTTCAGCCGCCAGGTGATTTGTTAGTTGTTTTCTCCCCCCTCACCCAGTTGCCTCTTAGGTCTAATCTATGGTACCTGTAAGCTGGTGGGCTCCCTCACTGCTAGTGCATCAAATAAAACTCCCAGCTTCAGAATTTCAGGGATGGATTAATTTCTTAAAATCAAAAGTCTCTCTCTAACTGAGCTGTTCCTTGACCTTTTAGCTTTCAGGTCACCTGATCCCTGGCCTCAAACTCATCATCTGGGAGGCAGATAATTAGGCAACTCCCTTAAAGGACCAGCTGACTGTGACACTACTATACAGGAATAGTATCAGTAGCAGCTGTGAGGTGTCTATTATTTGCTGTGGCCATTTCTACAATTAAGAAATATTTTTTTATTTTTGTATTTTGTGGTTATTTTGTAAATATCTGGATTGAGGGTTTTTTGGTCCCATTGAAAGGAGCTTTTGCTGTGTCACCAGTATCTTGTGTTGTAAAAGTTGTGTGAGTATCAATAAAAGAAATCAATCCCTTCTCCTGGGATGCAGATAATTAGGCGCAGGTGGGGCTAAACCCAAGTCCCTTATGTGGTGGGATGACTCTTTGATAGTAACCGTAGAGGTCTAGACTAGTGCATGATTGCTAGTCTGGCACGGGTGCTTATGAGAGGGAGGGAGTAGAGGATGGAGGGTGTTTGTGTGACATTGAGAGTATGGTGCATATGTTGGAGTGAGTGAAGAACAGAGGGATTACAGAGGAAATGGTGGGCACAGGCAACAGAGTAATTGAAGGAACATAGCAAGTACCAATGCAGATCATACCAATGGTCTGTCCTACAGTGTGTATATATTTTTAAAAGCCTGTTATGTTTGTGTGGTAGTCAGGTTTCATTGGCATTAACTTAAACCTGGAAAACCTAATTATGAGAGATGCCTGCTGAAGGATGCTGGGTTTTATTAGTATTTGAGAATGGTGCAAATGTGAGACTACTGGAAATGAATGCATAAAGCTATAATTCCTGTGATGCATGGACACTGAGATATAGGTGTCCTCTCTCTTTCTCTCTAACTCTTCAGGAGGAACCACAGTCTTTCATTTTTCTCTTCTTTTTTAGAATGGTGGTAGTGCTCAAAGATCCTTACTAGATTAAAGCCTCTTTGTGTGAGGCACAGTACAAATGCATAAAACGGACACAATTCTTGACCTGAAGAACAGTATCAAACTACCTGACACATCAGATATCCACTAGGTCTGGAAAAACCTGAAAGATAATCAGTATTTATTTAGGCAAACTCTGAGGGCTGGTCCACACTAACCCCCCAGTTCGAACTAAGATACGCAACTTCAGCTACGTGAATAATGTAGCTGAAGTCGAAGTATCTTAGTTCGAACTACAAGGTACTTACCACGGGTCCATGCGCGGCAGGCAGGCTCCCCCGTCGACTCCGCGTACTCCTCTCGTGGAGCAGGAGTACCGGTGTCGACGGCGAGCACTTCTGGGATCTATTTATCGCATCTAAACAAGATGCGATAAATCGATCCCAGAAGATCGATTGCTTACCGCCGAACTCGGAGGTAAGTATAGATGTTATGCTCATACAAAGCACACGGGATCTTTATAAAAGAAGGTAAATACACAGCATTTATTGAGAATACCACAGTTAGCATATGCTTTTTAGAGACACACACACACACACACACACACACACTCACTCACTCTCCTGCAGTGATGTTTACAGTTACTAGTCCAGAGTCTGGATCAATCTAGTGGACAGCCAGATTGGTCGCAGAGGGGAGCGGGGTTCTAT